TCTCTTCCAACCTTAATGATTCTGTGAGTCTATGGCTTCAGTGCTGCATACAGTGCATATTTTGTAGATCATATATGGGCTTGCTTTAGTTACCCCTTATTCTGCATACAGCCCTCACACTGCCTATGGATTTTACATTGCATGTGGCCCATAGGTGATGTGGTTCTTAAGTTGTACGTACCTTCCATGACCAAATCCTTTGTACAGTCACACACGGTGTGGTTATGTACATAGGTCTCCATTTGCACAGCGGTGCTGTCACTCCCAGGGCCAGCACCAGTGGGTGCCCCCAGGAGCGCTGCAGCAGGCTTGGGGGGAAAAAATCTTCCCCTAGGACCAAAATCCTCTGCAGGACCCTAGAGAAAAGGGGGTTTCACCCCTCTTGTGATGTTCATGGTCCACCACCCGCAGTAGCAGCTCTCCAGGAGATGTCTCCATGGTATTTCATCCACAAGTATCCATCTGCTGCTCCTGGTTTTGGTGTTTCTCCCTGCTCCCTGCTTTCCCCATTCCACCAGGACCTTTCCTCCCTCCCTGCAGGTGCCTGGCCAGCCCCAGACGCCTGTTTCCAGGATGTGAATATGGCTGGCAACACCTACGGCAACTGCGGCAAAGACAGCCAGGGACGCTACGTGAAATGCGACAAGAGGTGGGTGCAGTGCTGGCACCCATGTGTGCCCCATCTCCTCCTCATACACCTGCAGCCTTCCACTGCCCATCCCTGTGAAGGGTCTGGCAGGGTCCTACCCCGACCTCCTGGCATCACTTCGGGTGCCAGCTCCGTTTTGGAGATGAGGAAGCCACCAGGTCCTTTCTGGGCTTAGTCCCCATCACTGAACCAAAGACAGCATCAGCAGGAGATGCTATTTAGGGAATGTGTCCTCTCCAGTATTCCCAGTTAGACCAGGGACGTTGGACAGACCACCCTTGCCCATTCCCTCCAGCATTTTTGTGCTGTCCATGATTTATCTAAGTCCTTTCTGGACCTGCTGAGCCTCTCCCATGGCCATAAAATCAGAGGGAGGTGAGCTGGCAGGCAGCAGGGCAGGGGGTGATGGGATAGAGGGGGTGAGGTGGCTCCTGCCCTCACCTTGTCTGTGTCCTGCTCCCAGGGATGCGATGTGTGGCAAGATCCAGTGCCAGAGTTCTGCTAAGAAGCCCCAGGGGACCAACACCGTCTCCATCGACACCACCATCCGCTTCAATGGGCGGGAGGTGAAGTGCAGGGGCACCTACATGTACACTGCGAAGGACGACGAGGAAGACCTCTCTGACCCCGGGCTGGTGATGACAGGGACGAAATGTGGAGATGGGATGGTGAGTACCTCTTCCTAGAGCTGGGGTCTCCTACAGAGCAACTCCTGGGCTCTTGTCCCAGCTCCCATGTGGGACATTGGCTCTTCTCTGCATTACAGCCAGGCCATGGGATGTGGTTTCCTCCATGCTTAGACATGGTGACATCTCAGCCAGGGCATTTCTAGATGTCACCAGATGCTTGTGTGTGGGCCACTAATTCTTCTCTCTGGCTTCCATGCATTTTTTACTGATTTAATGCATAGTGGAGCAACCCCAACAAGAGTTTCATGCTCCAGTACTTGAGTGAGGCTTCCTCCTGTGAATAAACTGTTTCCCAGGGAAAAGCTGTGATAGGAATCAAGACGACAGATCCAAACAGATGCTGTTAACTGAGCATTAGCTCTTCCTGCAGCCCCTGTATCTCCAAATACTTCACAGAGGGTCAGTTCAACTGAGAAAGGGCAGAAGCCTGGTAGACAACGCGGTAGCAGGGATGCACGCCAGACAGAGCTGGCTGGGGAGATAATGGCCTTCGCTATTTGGCATTTTAATTGTGAAATTATCATCCCACTTTGGGATGGAAGGCTGAAATGTCGACACTTTGATGAGAAAAGATGGCTGGTTTGGAAATGCAGGGTTGTTTTTTTGGCTGGTGCCTGCCTTTTAGGGCCAGATGGGAAATATCTTCTCCAGGAGCTGCCGTTAGGGTTGTCAGGGGATGGGGTGGGAGTGGTGGTGGCTGGTGTTCACTGAGCCATCCTGGATGGGGCAATGGCAGAGGTTTCCTGGGTTATGCCAAAAATCGTAGTGAAACACATTGACCTGGAACAATACGGTTTAACCAACCTGCAATTTCCACAGAAAATGACTCCTATCTGTGAAGCCAGAAGATCGCTGCCCCCCTCCTCTTTCGGGTCTTCCCCTAACCTTGGCTTCTTGGCTCTCTCTCAGGTTTGCAAAGATCGCCGGTGCCAGAATGCCTCCCTTTTTGAGCTGGAAAAGTGCGTTTCCCGGTGCAACGGCCATGGGGTGAGTTACTGCCAGAGACCTACAGCAGGCTCCTGAGATAAACACAGATTTTTAAACAAAATCAAGCATCTCCCCCACGGATGAGCCTTGCAACACAGTGGGCATCTGCTTTTCATAACTCTCACATGCATCAGCTCTGGGTGAGACTGAGCTGAGATCTTTGTTTGCCTGTGTCCAAGTAAGAGGAATAAGATCATTCTTGATGTAAGGACCATCTGCAAAATTTGGATCAAGGTCCTATTTGAATTGGAGGGTGTTTGGAGCTCAGAGCAGGTGCCTGTTCCCTCTGAGAGCAAAGCAGGAGTTAGAAACACAACCAGGGCTGCAAAAAGGCAGGGAAGTGGTTCAGTGAATAGAAAGAGCCACTGTTGTCCAAAGCTTAAAGGCTACAAAGATTTGACCTCTGCACAACGCAGGGCTTTGTCAGGTAAGGCAACAGCAATGCTGTGGTTTAATGGGAAGATCCCAAGGAGAAAATGTTTAACAAACTTCTGCCTCAACAAAAAGCATTAGTGGCATTAGGCTTGGCTAGTCAAGCGGTGTGAAAAGTGAGGGTATAAGATACCTGTCCTCTAGGTTTCTGCAAAGAGCAGGGAAATTTTAAGTGTCAGCAAGAACATATCTGTGTGCATTGCAATTGCACATCTGAGGGCAACACAGATGTGATCCAAGTGATGTTCAAGGGGTGAATATTGAAACTCCTTCAGCCTGGACTCCTGCCGTTGGCCGTTTGCTCTCATCCCCACCCTACAGGCCATTGTTTCCATCCATCCCTCATGGTCTCCAACCCTTCTTCTCTCCCTGCAGGTCTGCAACAGCAACAAGAACTGCCACTGCGATGCTGGCTGGGCTCCCCCCTACTGTGAGAAGCCGGGCTTGGGCGGCAGCGTGGACAGTGGCCCCGTGCAGCGCGACAGTGAGTCACGACTTCTCATCCGGCTCCTTGTGATGCTGGTGGGGCTGGGGTAATGCCACGAGAGGAGGAAATGGGGCGACAAAGCTGCTGAAAGCTCTGCTCCCAAATGTGCTGGGTTGGGTCTGTTCATGTAGACTCGTAGCTCTGGTTGCTTGGTGGCCACCCCTTTTCATCAGAGGCCCCCAGATGGTATTGCTCCCTTTCTGGAGGTGCGATCAGCAATGATGGGAGCAATGTTTGCATCGGGTGGAGATGGAGCCTGTTGGGTCTCCCAGCCCCACACTCATCTTTGTGCTTTCTTTTCCAGATCACGTAACCATCTTAATATCCCTCCTGCTCATCTTCCTGCTCTTCCTCCCGGTCCTGATGATGAGCATCTACTATTGGTACCGGCAGGAGAACTCGATCCTGAATAAATGGATAAAGGAGATGAGGAGGAGGAGCCAGGAGACATACAGGTGGGTGATGAGTCCTAGATCCCTTCTCTAGACCAGCATCCAGACTGGTAGGAATGGCTGTGGGGAGCTGGTAACGCACAGACCTGGTTGAGATAAGAAGAGCTCTCTTCTGGGAGAGTCTGAGGCTCTCAGGTCTCTGCTGAGCAGAGGACAGGAATCTTGCATTGGACAGAACAACTCCAGAGAGTGATGATGAAGATGGCCTGGTACCAAGGAGCTTTCTTGTCATCTGCTCCTAACAGGCTGCAAGAGCTGGAAGGACTCTAAAGTAGTGTTGAATATAGATATTCTCATTATTTCCACTCCCAGTACAAGTACACACACACATAGCTCAGAGCCCTTGCAATCATTTGAGAAAAGAAAACCACTCAGAACCCAACAAGCTCCTTCATTATCCTCATTATCTCAAGACAGACTTGTCATCCCATCTCACCCAGCTCTACAAGGTTCTCTGTTAATGAGCTGTTAACGGAGACAGGATCCCTCTGACACACAGCGCTTCAGGAGGCAGCTGTTGCAAAAAACCTGCTTATTTTATTTTGCCATCTGTGATTTACATTTGTGATCCTGGGCAGGAGCAAAACCATCAGTCGAAAGTCAACCGGTGGCCATCCCAAAGCTGCTTTCGTCTTGCGCAATGTTTCCACCTCCAGCCCCACTACTAAAGTAAGTAATAACTCGCCTCCTGGGTTTGCTTTCCCTCTCTGAGAGCTGATACCTGTGGGTGATCACCTCTCCCTGTGCCAACTGGGCAAGCAACTGGTACTCTGCTGGTTTTGCACTGTGTCTGCACTGTGGGCCCTTGGTCAGTAGGGTTCATCCCTCCTAAAAGTGAGTCTGTTGGCCTCTGCCAGCTCAGAAAGACCCCAGTGATTGCCAGGAGCCCATGGTGGACAATTGTCCATCACCTTGGCAAAGTTGTCCCAGGGCTGTGCCATCCCACTGATGACTTTGTGCTGGGTCTCCAAGGGAGGCAGATGCTTCTGCTGCTGGTTGTGCCTGCTCTGGTGACCTAGGGATGGGCTGAATTTAGGAAGAATTTAGGGTTTTTTGAGCATGACAGTGGCTGAGAGGATGCAGAATGTTCTGAGGGGCAGAATGGATGATGTCTCCCATCTGGTGGAAATCTGGTATGGATTCACCAGAGCTGAACCTGCTCCAGATTTGAGACCAGCACCTTTCTCATCCCTGTGTGCTCTTATATGCTTAGCGAGGTACAAACACATTCAGCTTTTGGGCAGGATGGTAAAAATGGTGGTCCCAGAAAGTGGAATAAATACCCAGTGCTCTTCCTGCAACTCCCTAGCACCCAGACCTTGAAGTTACATCTGCTTTTAGTCATCCAGGAAAATACACCTAAGGATTTCACTTCTGCTTTTCTCTTCCCTGCAGGCCACACGGGCTGGAATCCCCCGCAAACCCAGCACTCACCAGCCCGGCTCCCAGCCCATCAACGTTGTCCACCCTCTTCGCCCGGCTCCTCACTCCATCCCTCCGCGACCAAGAGAACCCAAACCTGCCAGGCCACCTCCACCAGTCACCAAATCGCCCATGGTCCCCACCAAGACTGTTGTCTCCCAAGCTAAGCTGCCTCCTCCAAAGAGACCTCTTCCCTGCAGCCCTGTGAGGACGCCGCTGGTGAGCTTTGCTGTGCCTTCATGCCAGAATCATAGAAACTCCCTGGTTTTTGGCTGTCAGTGGCTCTTTTGGGTTGGGACTATTGAGAAGCTGTCACACCATCCTAAGAGACAATTTGTTGCAATGGTGAAGAAAGCTCATCAGATAATGACAATGTTTTAAGGCAGTTGGGGTGGTGTTGTGAGACACTTTGAAGCATCTCAGCTCTGCAGCAGGGTAGAGGGGTTTGGAGGAGGTCACTGGATGCTCCTCTAAGGATACTGTCTCTCCCCATACACTTTGTGATCCCAGGTCACCTCAAAGCACCAGCCCCCACGTCGACCGCTGCCTGGAAGTCCTCTTCTGGCCAAAGAGCTGCCTTCTGCACATGGACAGACCCTGCTGGTCATGGTCCCTCCTACCAACTTCAAGGCATCGGGGACAAGTGCCATGAGCCACCCCACAAGGCCATTAAAGTAAGTTGAGAGAGGAGTTGAGCTATCTCCCACCACTGCTGGTGTCCTGCAAGTGGACACAGTGTGTCACATCTGGGTGGGACATTCCCAGTGTCACTGTGGTGTGTGCTCTGATGGTGTCTTCACCATGACCTGGGTTTCTCCTGCTCCAATGTGGTTGGTGTGCACAGGTCAGGCTGCTGAGGGGCAGGAGAAATGCTCTGGGCTGTGTGGGTCTGTACCTGCTGCTGAAAAGTTTGAAGCCCACCAGCTTTGAGATAATTGGCCTGCAAGGCATTTTGGATCTTTGGTATGGGACATCAGTAATAGGTAGAAAGGAATTCAGAAGATGTCCCAAATCCTGGGGAGCAACCACAACCAGTGTGTTTGTCCAGATGGGGACCCTACATTTGTTAACAACCCTGTGCCCATGCTCCCTCTTGCGTGATGCAGGAAAAAAATCCTGCCTACCTGAGCAAGGTCCGTATGGGTGTCTGGGGTCTGTGGTCATGCCTCCACCTGGCAGGAACCCACAGGGTTTGGCCAAAGTTGGCCAGTGGTGACCAAAGCTGGGGCTTTGCCAGTTATAGGGTCCAGATGGGTTAAGGGAGATGCCATCCGTTGGTGGGTGCATATGGCCCCTTCATCCCACCCCACAGAGGCTGTTGGTGAGCTGCTGGGGGACAGTGGAGTGAAAGGATGGACATTGATGCTCTGTTTTGTCTTTCCTCCCTACAGACCGATGCCACCTCAAAGGTGAGTGACAGACACCGTGCAGGACCATGGGGGATGGCCTTTGGTTAAACATTGGACTCAGGGAGGGACCCAGGAGGCTGGGGGTTAAATGTCTCCCTTCCCAGAGGTTCTTAGATGAGCAAGACATAGCCCCTCTGGGTACCCAAACAGTAAGAGGGCTTGGGCACTTGTGTCCAAGGGAATGGGAGGACATGAGCTTTGCAGTTTGGAGCTGGGAGATTCAGTCCAAGTCCTTTACAATGTCACAGCTGCTTTCAGCCCAGGACAGTGGAGCCCCAAGGAATCACACATCCATCCCCTCCTGCTAGGTGGGCTTGTGGGCCATGTCCAGCCGTGGAGGGAAGGAGTTGGCCCTCATCTCCACGTGGTCTGCTTTGCTAAGTACCGCTTTGCTAATTACTGCTTTGATCCTCTTGGACCATTTCATGTTCTTATGTCTTTGGGACTGAATATACCTCAGAATTTCTCGCTGTAACTCAATCCCTGTAGCTCATCTCTTCTAGTAGATAAGACAGACCTTTGGGAATGTCTCTTGGTAGTGCACAAAACACCTTGGCTGTTCTTGGGAAGCCAGGAGCAGTAAGCCCTTGGGGTCATCAGCTGGTGGGCTCCCAGCTCTCACTGCTGGTTACTGCCTTGTGCCACCACATGCTTTGGTGGACTCTGCGTCCTATCAGGGTTTCGAGGGTACACCAAAGGAAAACACCTCGAAACGATGAAGTTTGTCTTGTATTTTTGAGACAAGGCATGGGTGACCATGACGGTCTCAGGTCCCCTCTTGTCTCAGGGACCTGAGCTGTGAAGGATGGTTGTGGTGGATGCTTGGTCTTTGCACTCACATGAGTTGTCTCCTTTCTCTTTCTTCTTGCTCTAGGCCAGTCCCAGCCATCAAAGTCCAATCAACCTCCTTCCTCTTGAAGAAGTGACAAACCAAGGACACCTTAAGCCCATCCTTCCTGAGCTGGCTCTCCTCATTTGCACTGCTGCTGGCGACTGGGGTCTATTATTCCTCTCTTGTTTTATTTGTCTTTTGATACCAGAGGACTATTTTTATAAGACAGAATATGTATTCAGCACAAAAACTGTCGTGGTGGGGGGAGGAGAGGGGAAATCAGTACCATGACATAACTAAGGGTCAGAGTGGGCTGGTGGTGGGGTTGCCACAATGGGGACCCTACCAGATGCTGCTGGCATCGCTTCCTGGCCAATTTACCTCCCAGCTTTAATTTCTTCTTGACATTGCACATGGGCTGGGATGGGGTGACTTGGGGTCAAGTGATCACCCAACACTGATGGAAAATGCTGATGACAGTGGCAGCAAAAGCCATGTAATATCCTTCTAGCTACCTCCTCCTTCTCCTCCAGACCTGGTGAGACCACCCCCACCACCACCCAACCCATTGCCACCAGAGTTCAGTGCTGGGCTTTGTCTCTGGGGAGACATTTGCCATAAGAGAAGAGTGGTTTCCAGTTTGGACTGTGCCATACAGTGCTGGGATCCAAGTTCTCCAGCTCCTCCTGGCCCTCCTGCCTGATTGCACAAGGGAAAACAGTGACAATCCTGGGGTCGTACCTGGAAGGAGAAGCTGTTTGGGAAATGGTTTAATGTCTGAAGTACTGGTGGCAGCTGGTTACCACGGTGCTTTCAGGGGGCTCAGGAGCCCCCCATAAATATTGCACGTCCCCTGCTCATGGGCCAAGCCCAGCAGTGGCTCTGCGAGGTGCTAACGCTCTGCTGTCCAAAGAGGGAAGGAGCCGCAAGCCGGGAACAAGAGCAGGGCCACCTCCTGCTTGTCATCGCCTTGCCCAAAGGCCTTGGCCAAACCATTGCATTTCTCTGTGCCTCAGTCCCCCCATCTGTAAAAGGGGGACTCATACCTACCTCACAGGAGCGTTGTGAGGTTGAACAAACTGATGTCTTGAAAGGGCTTTACAATCCTCAGATGAAAGGTGCTGTTGACCTGCACAGTACTATACCGTGCCACTTTCCTGTGACTTGACATATGGCTCTGTCAGGGTCTGAAATGACAACAAAGGCTTTCTACAGTCCCCTGGCTCCTCTGGTTCTTTTCTTGCTCAGAAGTTCCCTGAACCTTTAGACACCAAGGGCTTTGGGTCTCCCACATCTCTGGTGCCCCTTCTGTCAGCCCTTAACCCTGGGATCATTTGGTCCAACTGTGTGACTTGCCGACTGCCCTGTGATACATGCCATCTGACCTAGGACAAATCTTTTTGAGAGGTGTCCCACCAATGTAAAGGTTGTTCATAATGTAGGCTCAGGTTGTGGTTAGGGCCACATTAATCTAAAGTGTCCTTAGTCTGTTGCGACCAGGCTTTGTTTCAAAGCCTTTGGTCATGCACGTGGCCTGGAGCATCTCTGATGCCTCCATATCTTTCTTGGTTGTAGACATCCAGGTGGGTTATAGGATCCAGCATCTCCTCTTACTCTGCTAACAAATCACATAGTCGGTCATTTAGGTTGAAAGGGACCTCTTAAGATCATCCTAAGATGCCCTCCAGAGGACAGGATAAATGAATCAGTCCCTAAATGTCCCCAGGGTCACATTCTTTGAAGTGCTCTCCCAAGGATGGGATGGCATGGTCAGGCTTGAGGAAGAGCCTACAGATCTCCTGGAGAGGGGAAATACTGCTCTCTGCCTGTGAATGCTGCCTCCTGCTGCCCAGGGTAGGTGTTAAAGAGCTGGAGAGGGTTTGGAGAAGTCACTGCAGTGTTGAAGTGGTTGGGAAAACTTTTCTCAATGAGTCGGACAATTTAGCTTAATGTCAGAGTGAGGGATGTCAGTGCTGCAGTCAAAAAAACACCGTTCTATGAGACCAGTGATTGAATGATCACATCAAGGTGGTGCAACAGCCCTGAAATTGGATTCTTGGTGGTTTATATCATATGTATAGTGGCCATCACACTCCCCTTCATCTCCTCCTGTTGCCAGTGGGTGAGATGAGAATCTTACCCTCTATAGCTGCTCAAACTTCATTAACAGTGCAGAGCCAGGATGTGCACGTTCTGGGGCTAAATTTGAGCTATTCAAGCTAGAAAGGAATTGATAGACAGCACCACTTTGGATCTCAGGGATCCTCCAAAGATGTCCTGCTCTAGGGCTCAGCTCAGCAGCACAGTAAGTACTCAACAACGATGCTTTCACCCTTCTCAAAGGCCCTTTTCTCTGCCTGGGAGATGTCCTTGTGTGCAGCAGCAGATTAAATGCCTGAATCCAGGGAGGGCTTTTGGGTGTTGGGATGACACTAGGTGGCAGCAGATGATCACCAAATCCTCTGCTCAGCCTTGCCTCTGAGCTGCTGCTGGGATTTCCAGGGACCAGATCCTCAACTGCAGCTTTTCTCCTTGCACTCCACTCAGCTCTGCATCACCTTCAATCCCATTAAAAGCATGAGCTGGGCTTGAAAGCCACCAAGTGCCTCTGGTGACTTCTTCTGTTTGAAGTCCACTCAAGTGGAGCTTTCCCTTTAATACTGGAGTCTGCTGTAAGTTTGAGTATCTTTGGAAAGTGATGACGAAGAGCTGAAAAACCAGACCCCTTTGCCATACCGTGTCTTCAGCATCAAAGGCACCTTCTTGGCTAACAAAGCCTTGCTTAGACAGTGTGTTCGTGATGAAGGGGAACGGGGAAGGATCCCATGGAGATGATCCTGGGTCAATCATTGAGGGCACTGAGACATGCATCGTAGTCTCATTTGCTACTGCCTGGATATGTCTTGTGAGAAAAATGCTGCATCTGCTGGAAGGTTGGGCCTCACTGTTTCCCCTCCAGTCAGGTAAGGGAGAACCTGAGACTGTGGTTATGGAGAAGTGTGCTGAAACTCTGCACCTCCAGGGAGGCTCAGCCCAATGCTTCACTGGTGGTTTGACCAGTCCCTTTGCAAGCACTTTTCTCATTTATCCAGTGGTGCTTGTACTTACCACATGGCAGAGCTTGTGAGATTGAAATGAGGACAAATACCTCCTGGCTAGCTCGGGAGAAAGCATCTGTATCAAATTCAATGGCTTTAGATTGTACACGCTGGAGGGACCAATAATTTTCTTAATTCCCAGCAACATCTTGGAAGACAGGATGGCCCCATCCCTTTGGTCCATCTAGTCCAATATCCAGTTTCCAACAGCAAAAAGATCCAGACATTTCTGAAGACTGGTGGAGCAAAGCCCAGCTCCTTTCAGATTTTAACCTTGTCCCTGATGGAGCCTGGTGCCATCTCCTTTTTGCTCTGTCCTGGTATGGGATCTTCATATGGGATCTCCATATCAGATCTCCATATGGGTTCTTCAATGCTCTAGCAATACAGAGCCCATGCTGCTCCAGGGAGCATCTTCCTGTGCATTCATCCCCATGGTACCAATATTTTCTCCAGCTTTCGTCTCATTGAACAGTCTCTGCCTTCCTCCTGCACTAAGATGCTCCAGGTCCTGTGCAAAAGAAATGAAGGAGAAGTTAAGTCAGGACAGCTTGGGTGAGTCATTTCCAGTGGTGTGTCCTTCTCTGTGTAGCTGCTTATCTCTTGCTGTAGCTGTCAGCATTCTCGCCAAGACTTCTGAGGTCCCTGCACACCAGGCACTTTGCAAACAGCAAAACTGACAGCTCGTGATCCAGCCCACTATAAAATTAGCTGGGGCCTCTGGGCTTTCTGGATGCTTTTGCTCTTACTAGGGCTGATAAGGGGGTGTAGGATTGTGTGTGGGGGTGGTAACATCTCCTGTGCCTCCTTGGTATCCAGGTGATATGACAGACACAGGCTCAACCCTGCAGAAAGGTGCTGCTGAGCTGGTGGGGCTCATGTGGGCTCATTCTGGTCCTGGAAGGGGCCGAAGAGATGTGACACCATAGGGAAACAGCTTGGGTGGCAGTGAGGGGTGACTATAGCTGGTTTCTTCTCCATGCCAGCATCTCCACCCAGAGATGGAGCTGTTGGTCACAGGCAGGCCTGGCCAGAGCATAGGGCCTGGGTTGGATCTGACATTTGGGGCAGGACTGATGTAGCTCAGTGTGAGGAGGACACCACTCGGGATGAAGCTGGTAAGATCTCCTTGCCCTTGGGCAAGTCGTTGCCTCTGTCTCCGTGCCTCGGTTTTCCTCTGTTTGTGAAATGGAGTCACTGGTCCTTAATCTGTTCTAACAGATCAGAATCTAAATCTAACCTCTGCCCTGTCCTGCCCAGTCACCCTGGGGTCCAGGAGCCACAGCAAGGGTCCAGATCCTGACCCACAGCAGCTCTGTGGGCTTCTGACCTGCTTGGGCTCTGCAGGGGCTTCTAAGGGTTGGAGGGGGATGTGGAGGAAGGACCAGTGGAGGGAACAGGGAAGAGTCACCTGGGATTGAATGGCTCCCGGTGAGCTTCAGAAGTTTGGGGTTGGTTTTCTGTAGTGCACTGTGGACATCACCTTGGCTCTCTGGTGCCTGAATTTCAAGGCGCATCAAATTTGCAGTGAGTTCATTGTGGATGTCCTGGTACTAGGCAGGGTCTTGACCCCTGGGATGTGGCACTCGGTGACATTGTTAGTGTTTACACTAATTTTATACTTTAATATAAACCCATCTTTTTATTTTCTCATTCAACGCTGCATCCCGGGGCGGGAGAGATGAGAGGGATGGATGCTGAGCTGGGACCAGCTCATGGGCAGACAGAGCTGCAGGCAGACAGACACTTGCACAGAGCTAAAGGAAAGAAATAAAAAAACCCAACAAAGGAAAAAGAGGAGAAAAAAAAGCAGTGAAGCGGTTAATGAAGAGGCTCCTGCAGCTGAGGAAGTTGAACCATTCATCATCTTCCACTGCCTTTTCTCGCCTTTTACTTTATTTGTCTTTGGCACAAGACAATTGCTCTCTCCACCCGTCCCTGCCATTCGGGGGCTGATAGCTCTCTCTCCTTGGAGCCAAGAATGGTCCCATTAAAA